CGTTTAGTGCAAGAGCAAACTGCCTTTGTAAAAAGCTTTGCCGATGAAGTTGCACCACGGGGTTTCAGAACAGTTATGTCTCTATATCCGTTATCCCCTCTGTTCATGAATTTCAAAAAAAACACTGCTCGTTGATGCAAAATGTAGTAGATCAAGCTTTAAAGAACTGGACAATGTTAAATAAATCACTGCTCCACTGTTTCTTTATAGCTTTGCGTTCTCACATCGCTTTCTGTCTTCTCTCCGTCTTTTCATTAACCTATTCATATTTTATCTGACGTATGCTCATCACATAGATGGCGAGCAGGAGGCTGTACTGATGATTCCTACTCCTACCCGTATACTGCGCTCGGCCTGTGTTTATAGCTAAGGGATGAAATACAGACTGCATTCTCTTCTTACACATGATACCTAGCCTTATTCCTTCTACTCTGTTACTGCTAATCCATTAAAAAGTACATTTTAACAGCTTTAAAACAAGTAATCATTTTATACTAGCATACTAATTTCTCCCTACAAGCCCTTCTCTTGAGTGTTTGTCCTTTTATTCAAAAATGTTGCGTATACTTTGCAGTAAGTTTACCCGCAGCACACTTGAGGAGGTTTTATATTCTACGAAAGAAATTTCCAAAAATGGCTTAAATAAAGGAGAACCTAAATCTTCCTCTTTTTTCACTCCGAAGGCAGAAAGTTAAAATATAATTTAAGAAAATTTATTCTGGAAAAGTCAAAAAAAGATAAACGAAAGATAAACGAAAGAAAAGTAAAAAGTTAAACAAAACACCAATAGGGATCTATTCCCAGATCCCAGGCCGCGATATCATCTCCAAATGTTCCCTTTCCCAAGGAAAATGTTTTCCAGGATCGCGTTAGCTATCCGCGAAGACCCAGAAGCCCCGATAACGATTGAAAATGCCTAGAGGAGATCCGCTGTGACGATAAAGCGCGCATTCCAGCGCTAATGGAATCCTCGTTCTACAAAAGCAGCCCGGCTTACCAATCAGAGCCCACTCACGCTTCATGGGTTGCTTTGTTCCCATACGTCGTCTTGTCTCGTCTTGCCCCCCAGGTAATTTTTATACAAGGTTGAACCTGTGCAACTGTTCACCTCTCGTGGCTTTGATTTAGGTTATTTGATGTGCTATATTTTGCCCCTGGGTTGCACTGTTGTTACGTTTGTGAAGTTTTTGTAAACATTCTAAGGCATAACGTGCTTCCACATTCGGTTCCCGTATATCCTCTGACACATACACGCACACACACATGCATACACCACGCGTCCCACATCACACACACACACACACACACACACTCACATATACATTTCACAAAACATTAACCCTTACAGGTGGCAAGTGGTTCGTGACTGAATGTGGCTGGTGAATGAGCACTGTCCAGGTCGTCGGACTCCGCTGAATTCAGATCACCAAGTATGCTTCGATTTGGTTCGTTCGACGGAGCATTACCCGAGCAAAAC